GCAGCTGTACACTGACATCACAGTTGCTGGAATCTCCCTTTTCTTTGCCCCGCGCCCTTTTATGCTTAATGAGATCCAGTAGGATGCGTCAAGCGGAAGACATACCTCTCGTGTCATAGTGGTACAAAGAGCATTGGTAAGAGTTTTTTTTTGGTTTTTGTTTTTGTTTTCTTCTCTATCTTTTCTGAAATGAAATTTACATAGACTGCTAAGCTTGATCTGAAATTTTTTACTAGCTGTATTTTGCAGTCCCCCTTCCTATCTGGTTCAAGTGAGGGTTAGTTATCGGAAGCTCTTGAAATGTTTTGTGCTGAACGAGTTGCATCACAGGCCACCCAAGTGATAAATTTATCTCTTTTAGGTTGATGTTTTGAAGGTATACGTCATGGGGTAGGAGATTACCTCACAGACCTGTTTTGTGTCTACATTTGTTTGGTATTTTCCTTTGGTTTGTCTCAAAGGTGACTTGAAAAGTAGTTCTATTTCAGACTTGGCATTATTTGCTATACTCTAGCAGTAATTATCATATAAAAAAATATTTTTTGTTTGTTTGTTCTAAAGATACATTCTTCTCCTTTTTGTGCTTTTATTTTTTCTGTATCTATTAATGACAGTTTAATATACTTGTGAAAAGATTCATAGACTATTGTCCCTGTTGCATCCGAGTGGTTTCCTGCATATTTGGCTGCCCCTGAGTGGCAGAAGCACCACGCCGCCTTGATTGCCCTTGCCCAAATGGCAGAGGGTTGCTCATTGTGAATCAAAGGGCTTCTATTGTTAATAACTGACTAGATTCATTTTGTGCTACACAACATGGTTATAATCATTATGCATTTTCGGTGATTTGTACTATTTTTGAATGGTTATCAATTGCTAATAGCTATACGTGTTGTGAATGTACTGGATAATGAATGAAGAAATTCGTCTTTCCTTAGGAATTTACTGGCGTGCTTCAGCATTTTGAGCTTGGCAGACATAGCTACCCATTTTACGTTTGTTACAGGTAAGAAAGGTTCTTTATTTGATAATATTTGCAGCAAACATGCTCCATTCGAACATGGGATGATACTTTCTGCTATGAATTTGTTGTTAAATCTGGTTTTACATTTGGTGTGCATTGTACTTTGATTCAAGTGACAGTAATTTTGGTGGCTTGCAACTATTAATCATTTTGTTGAAAAATCAAAATCAATATGTCTTCAATCTAGTAATGATGAGTATAGTGCTAAGGTGATAGCTAGCCGAGTTATAACTAGTTGTTGTTCCCGACCTTTGGCAGTGTAATGCCATTGTTGTTCCCGACCTATGGCTCTCTTCCTGCTGTTTGATCGATTTTGGTTTGGGAGGAGGCAAGTCTAGCACTCCATTTCACTCTAACCCAATATCAGTCAGTATGTCCCAACTTCGAACATATTGTAGCCTTTGGCTACATTCATGTTGATTCAATTATTCTTGAAATGTTTTATATTTGAATATTTTAAATGAAACTAATTGGAGAGATCCTCTGTATGTTCAAATAACTCTTTCTTCTTTCACATTTTCTGTCTTTCTTTCAGGTTCCTTCTGCAACTGCATAGTAAGAGGTAAATTTATTGAATTAGTTAACAATATCAACAGGTCAATTGAGTTTTTCTGTATGTGTCAAATGTTGCTTTCTTTGTAAAAACTGTGAGACCATTACGTAGTGCTTTTTCTCTTTGTCCCGCTACTGTGTTAAACTTCGAACTACAACTAAAGAAAGGAATTTTCTAGACATATTGACACGGAGATTACCTTGGAAGGCAATCAGTAATACCAGAGGTGGTTTTTGGCATTTCTATCTTATTTGAAATGGCTGAGTGGTTTTTTTTTATATAGGTTTTTAGGTTTTTGTTACTCACATTTGGAAACTCCTGCACTCTGTATACTTTCTCTTTTCTTAATTATTTTTGTTACCCACATTGGCAGCTCGTGTTCAGGGCATTGCGCTGGAAGAGAGGAATGCCAACATCAGCAGCAATTATCAGCAACACCTCCCCAATGGCATTAGTTTGATAAATTGGGTTGTTTGATTAGTAGGATGTTGTTAGAAGTACATATTTGTGAGATTACTAGTTTGATATTTGTTGGAGGCAGAGTTCTTGTTATGGACGGTGGTGGAAGCTTGAGATGTGCTATATTGGGTGGTAATCCTGTAGTTCAAGCTCAGAACAATGGATGGACAGGGATAGTGGTGAATGGATGTAGAAGAGATGCTGATGAGATTAATGGATGCCTGTCTAGGTGAAGAAATTGATGATTTGATGCCAGGAGACGAGGTGAAGCAAGCACTGCCTGTCTAGGTGAAGCAAGCACTGCAATGGAGTTCAAGATGGTACTTATACAATTGCTACCATGGATAAAGGAGGCATATGTTTGTATTGACACGGATAGTAGGTGCAGGACATAATTTTTCTCTAGTCATTGGCTTTTTATATAATGGAAGCTTGGCTTGTTATAATTTTGAGACAAGTTTGATATATGCTTAGTTTGTAATATAATTTCATTTACATTTTTTTTATTTATTTCTCACTTAATTTGTTATAATTTTGAGTTATAATTATTTGCATAATTTTTTTCTAATACTTTAATTTTTTTAATTAAATAACGAATTATATTTTTTTTAAATTACGCATAATAAATTATATTTATTATATAATTTTTTAAATTACATTATTTTAGCACATTTCAAGTTAAAATCATGCATATACACGTTTAAATAATGTCTTAACTTCAATCTTTGTACAGTAATATTACTGTGCTTCGTGGAGTTAATCACTTTTCTTCACGTGGGAAACTGAGCGGTTTGCGAAGAAAAGAAGAAAAACGCTCCACACACAGAAAAATGAGGTTCCCAACCCGAAAAATCAGCATCGGAAGCTGGAATTAATCGGCGATCGAGGAGCTTAGGATTCGAAGTGGTTGTCGATAGCTTCGAGGACCGACAATGGCGGTTGAGGACGTTCAGTTGTTGCGAATATCGCCGTCGGACTCTAATGGAAGCTCTATTCCAACACCCACGCCGGGAAAGGACCAGCAAGCCGCCGGCGTCGGGATTCTTCTGCAGATCATGATGCTTGTCCTCTCCTTCGTCCTCGGCCACGTTCTCCGCCGTCACAAATTCTATTATCTTCCAGAGGCCAGTGCTTCCCTTTTGATAGGTATTTATTCGACTAACCTAGCTCTTATTAGTAATTAGGGCTATTAATTAGCAGTTTGTTTTGGAAAAATGTGAATTTGGATTTTACATTATTATTTCTGTGGCAGGTTTAATTGTTGGTGGACTTGCTAACATCTCAAATACTGAAAATAGCATCAAGTCTTTTTTGCATTAATCTATAATCATAAACCCACTTTTTCCCTTTCCTTTTTTTTTTTTTGTTTCATACCGGAAATGGATTGATTTTGAGCTGACTAGAAAATTTTCTTCTGCTGCTAAATTGTGCAGATCATGGTTCAATTTTCACGAGGAGTTTTTCTTCCTGTTTCTCTTACCTCCAATCATATTATATCCAATCCAAACCATTCGATTTTTTTCGTTTGTTTAAAATTTCTCGTCAGAGCTTTTTTATTTATTTTATTTTTTATGTTAAAGTTTTGATTTCTTTAAATCGGCTAATTTTGCTACTACAAAGTGGTTTTCTTTGACACACTAGCTCTTACTAAGTCAGGATTCATTTGATGACGATGATACTGATGATAATGTCCTTGAAGGGTCAGTTATAACAGGAGGTAGTATTAGTCATACAGAGATGAGTCTCAGGAAAGTTGTGGGAGATAAATTTGATATATGTTTGGCTTGTTATATAATTTCATTCACATTTTTTCTATTTATTTCGTAGTTGGTTTGTTATAATTTTGAGTTATAATTATTTGTATAATTTTTTTCTAGTACTTCATTTTTTTTATTATATAACAAATTATTTTTTTTAAATTACACGTAACGAATTATATTTATTATATAATTTTTTATTATATTTATTTTAGTCATGATTTAAATTTTAAAAACAAGACAACTAAACACTGGTTCGAATTACATTTCATGTTAGAATCAGAATCATGCATATACACATCCAAACGAAGGTTCTAATAACTCTGAATCATGATTCAAATTATGGAGACTGTTTGGTTCATGGATTAGAATCATAAGATTAGAACTATTTTCAATTTACGTGTATTTTTTGTGAAAGAAAACACTGTAGCGAACTATGAGCCATGATTTAAATCGGAGTATGAATTTCCTAACCAAACAACTCAATAATGAATCATAATTTTAAATCAAATGATTCAAATCACCCTGATTTCAATCCTTATAACAAACGGACCCTTCATTGTATCATGTAACCCAAACCGAATTGAGCCATATTGACGAACCTGGCGCGGCTGCATATAATTGGATCGGATCATTCGTCCACACATCAAACAAATGCAGCTGAATTTCACCCATTTCGGCAACGCAACACCACGTCAGCAGCCCGACACTAATAAAGTATGGCGCTAATCACCTCCACCCGATTCTACTCGATAACATGCCCCACATTACGTTCACCAACCACTCACAATTACCCACGTTCATTTCATAACCCCAATGTAATGACCCACACGTCTCGTAATCAGCAGGGAATCCTGGTATTTCGGTAATTTCAACATAAGACCAAGGTCAAATGTTATCCTGAAATTATCTAAAACAGATTTCTTCTCAGCTTAATATTGAACTCAACAAGAAGAGTTGCGCAGTGTTGTGTAATGTGATATGTATAATGTGCGTTTGCTTTGTGTCAACGGACGCCAAAAGATATTCAAATACAGCCCAATTCTCAAGCCTTTAGAGAGAGAAAGTAGAGAGAGAAACTTAATTTCTCATTTATTTTTTTATTTATTTAGTATAAAATAATAATTAATAAGTTCATGGTAGTAGTACTACTTCTCTTACCTCCAATCATTTTCTTCTGTTTTAATTCTCTTTCTTCTTGAGGAATTTTTATTTTATTTTTATTTTTTTTAAAGCAAGCAAGCAAGCAAGAAGAAGAACGGAAATTAATTTTTCTTTACAGTTGCTTTCTCTTTCTGCTCTGGTTTCCCGGCGAGAGAGGAGGAAGTAGAAGAGTGGAAGAAATAAATACCTCTGCTTCTACGAAACTCTCTCTTTCTCTCTCTTCCTACAAATTTCCTTGATCAAAAAGACAATAACCTTTCATTTGATCGAGTTTCTGCTCAATACCCATTTCCAATGAACTCTCTCTAACTACCCATCAGGTTCTCTCTCTCTCTCTCTCTCTCTCTCTATCTATCTATCTATCTGTTCCTCAATCATTTGAGGTAATTCACGTTTGCCTTTTTTTTTTTTGAAACTTAGTTTTGATTTTTTTTTTTTTTCGGAGAGTTTATGATTGTCTGATTATTGCATGTGGGGTTCTTATATTTTTATTTAATTTTCGTTACTATGCTAGTATTTTGGGGTTTTGGTGAATGAAGAAAGTGAAAACTTTTTTTTTTTTTTTAATAGCGGTGTGCTAAATTTGAGGGCAGACCAGTGTTGACCTGGGTTCTTTTTTGTATGAGCTGCTGAGTCCTTATACTGCATTTCCTCACTGTTTTTTGGCATGGTTATTTTGACATGTCATATGGGTTTTGTGTGATTTTATCTTATCTTAGCCAAATTTCTTCTGTTGGACATAAAATCAAACTAGAATCAGCTCATCAATAGACTATTTAAGTGCTTTTTGTCGGCTTTGATGTCCTTTTGAACTAGATTATAAGTGTCAATCAATATTTATGGTAAATTTTGGTTGGTGTTTTATGGTTGACCTTGTTAAGTCACTCTTTTGAGCTTGATTTCTCCCATGAAGAACATTTCTTTTTTTTTTTTTTTTTTTTTTTTTTTTTTTTTTTTTTTTTTGTTTAAGTTTAGTTTTCTGCATTAATTGCTGTGCATTTGTTCTTATCGTTTGAAAAGAAGAGAGAGCTAAGTTTATGCATTTGGTTCATATCATGATCTTTGTTTTATCTTGAAAGACACGTGTTTGAACTATCAATGCTTTTGCTTGATTATGGTTAATTTCTGCAGGAAATTTCTGATGACACGAGAAACTTAATTACGAAGTTTCTAACAGTCTATGTCGGCGACTTCAATAGTATTAGCATTCTTGTGTCCATCTTATGGTCCTGTGATGGTGTGACTTAATTTCTTTCACTTCCCTTTTGTTGACAGAAAGTTGTCAATCAGCATGGAGAAGCATTTTGAAGATTCCACGCCAAGCCGCAGTGAAGGTGCTCTCTTTTTCTTTGACTGATGAGAGCATTCTGCACCCGTTTTATGTATTTATTTGTTTATGACACATGAGTCCTTGAGACGCGATTTGCATTTGTGTGTAGGTCCATTGCAGATTCCGTCAGTTAATTATCCAAAAAAGATGGGAAGCAATTTGTGGGGGATCTTACGCGAAACTGATTCGTATCATGCATCAAATGATGCCAGCTTGTTTTCTACCTCATTGCCCGTCCTTCCACATGAGAAATGTATGTCAGCCTTTTACTTTTCCCCTCAAGATATTATGGATCCTTATCTGTAAGAATTGCTATTGAGATTTGTTTTGTGGGCATGTAGTGAATTTCACAGATTTGGGGAATGGTGGTAAATCGATTGATGATGGCCTGCCTAATTTAAACAAGCTTGATCGAGGGAAAGGGTTAAAAGATCCTCTTGAAGATGTTGAACCTAATGAAATTGGAAACATGCTTCCTGATGATGAAGATGAGCTTTTAGCTGGTGTGACCGATGATTTTGACCTGAGTGGATTGCCTAGTCAGCTTGAGGACATGGAAGATTATGATTTTTTTGGCAGTGGAGGGGGAATGGAAATGGATTTAGAATCCCAAGAGAACCTTAGCATGGGCATATCTAAAATGAGCATTACCGATGCGTCTACCTCAAACGGAGTTAACCCTTATGCGCTGCCAAATGGTGTGGGAACAGTGGCTGGGGAACACCCATATGGGGAGCATCCTTCAAGAACCCTGTTTGTTCGAAACATTAATAGTAACGTTGAGGACTCCGAATTAAGATCTCTCTTTGAGGTACTTCACATGACTGTTAGTGTGATACTGTGTTGCCTCCATTGTATTAGCTGACATTTGTTTGTGCTTTCGATAATTTTTAATTGGTGATTATCCATCCTTTTTGTGCGATCCGCCTTGTGAATATGTAAACACACAATTTTCACATTCATTTCAGTTCTTTCATTGTTTATTGATAATGGAATCCTCCCCCTCCCTTATTGTTGGCAGCAATATGGAGATATCAGAACTTTATATACTGCATGCAAGCATAGAGGCTTTGTGATGATATCTTACTATGATATACGAGCTGCTCGTACTGCAATGCGTGCATTACAGAATAAACCATTGAGACGAAGAAAACTTGATATTCATTTTTCAATTCCCAAGGTTTGAATAAAAATGCTTCTCATATGATTCAGTTTGGAAGGGTTAATTATATTGACTTTTATATAAAGCAAGCTTTTTCTATGCTAAAATTTCAGGATAACCCATCAGAGAAGGATATTAACCAAGGAACTCTGGTAGTGTTCAATCTGGATGCTTCAGTATCAAATGATGACCTGCGTCAAATATTTGGGGCTTATGGGGAGGTCAAAGAGGTATTAGTTACATAGTTGCTACACACATATGTGTAAATACAATCATATATATACTTATTCATTTAGTTCTGTTTCAAGCGTTTAGGAATGGACAATTGTTTCACCTTATTAGTTATGAAATGTGATCATTCTTATATGCAAATGCAGATTAGAGAAACTCCACACAAAAGGCACCATAAATTCATAGAATTTTATGATGTTCGAGCTGCAGAGGCTGCCCTCAGAGCACTGAATAGGAGTGACATAGCTGGCAAACGCATAAAACTTGAACCAAGCCGTCCTGGCGGAGCGCGTCGAAAGTATGCATTACTTTGTCTTACTCTATGTTTATCTCTCTTAGGCATTCAAATTTCCAGGATTCTTGTGTTTTATTAAATAACAATATGTGGGTAAATGGTAACGTGAAAAGAATGTTCTTGGGTCTCATTTGAGTATGTTGGTAATTAGAGGGTTTTGTTTGTAAATTTCATCGGACAAAACTTCGTACAAAATTTGGTCTGAATAGTTCCTTGGATCCCGTTGCATTGTTTCTCTAGAGCATTCTCAGACTTTTGTGATTTCAAGTCCTTTATTTCGGAACTTTGCAACTCTTGGTCCAATCGTTTTGGTCAACATTTGTATCACTCTGATTTACCAGTTGTCCATGATATGTGGATTTCGCTTGTATTCTACACTGTATCTGATATTTTGATTGTTGATTAATCTGGTGAAAAAACTGTAATTTGTTATTCCTTTTTGTTTAGCTTGATGCAACAACTGAGTCAAGAGCTTGAACAAGATGAAGCTAGAAGTTTCCGACCTCAAGTGGGATCACCATTGGCCAACTCTCCTCCAGGTAGATATCCATCTGTACTATGTTTGGTCTCTCAGACCACAATTTTCTTGGTGCTTATCTTAGATGCACGGCCAATTATAAACTGAAATAGCTTTGATGGCTCTAGGTAACTGGCATTTTGGCAGTCCAGTTGAACATAATCCCATGCATGCTCTTAGTAAGTCTCCTGGTCTGGGAGGTCTCAGTCCTGTAAGTAGCAACCACTTGACTGGGTTAGCTTCAATTCTTCCTCCTCATCTCTCTAACTCCCCGAAGATTGCACCTATTGGCAAGGACCAGGGAAGGTTTAACCCTGCAAATCAGCTATATAACACCTCCGGGTCAACACAAGCAGCGGCCTATCAACATTCACATTCCTTTACTGATCAGAAATTGAGCTCAAGTACCGGACCAATTTCTTTTGGTGAATCAAATTCCATTTCGTCTGGTATTGGAACATTGTCTGGTCCTCAATTTCTTTGGGGAAGCCCAACCACTTATCCTGAGCGTGCCAATTCTTCTGCCTGGCCGACATCATCTGTGGGGCGCCCTTTCTCATCTAGTGGACAGGGACAGGGTTATCCATACTCTAGTCGGCATGGCTCTCTCATTGGGTCATCTCACCATCATCATGTGGGATCTGCCCCATCTGGTGTTCCTCTTGAGAGGCATTTTGGATTCTTCCCAGAGTCTCCGGAAACATCCTTCATGAATCCTGTGTTTGGAGGTGTTGGATTAAATAGGAACAATGGGAATTACATGGTGAATATCGGTGGTCGTTCTTCCTTGAGTGCTGGTGTTGGTCTTCCAGGAAATATAACTGAAAATGGTTCACCAAGCTTCAGAATGCTTTCTTTGCCAAAACCTGGTTCAGTTTTCCTTGGGAATGGTTCTTTCATAGGGTCACCGGCAACTAGTGGTGAGGGCTTAGCTGATCGTAGTCGAAGTCGCCGAGTTGAGTATAGTGGGAATTTGGACAGCAAGAAGCAGTATCAGCTCGATTTGGATAAGATAATCAGTGGGGAGGATACTAGGACTACATTAATGATTAAAAATATTCCTAATAAGTAAGAAGATTTCACGTACTTTTAAAACATATTGTTTGTAAGTCGTATTAGTGTTGAAAGAAATATTCCTGCATGATTAAACTTCTTTTTATCTTTCCATCATATTAGGTACACTTCAAAGATGTTGCTGGCTGCTATTGATGAAAATCACCAGGGCACTTATGATTTTTTATACTTGCCAATTGATTTCAAGGTATTTTATTTCCGCTACAAACTTTGATATTATCCTCTACATCTTATTGGAAACTATCCTTGTGTAGTTGGCTTCACACTGAGATTAAGGATTAGTTGAGCTAAGTTTTAGGGCCATTTTTTGTAGAACTTACAAAACAAAGAATAGCATTAATTTAATTATTTTCTTTTATGTTATTGCCTCGTTAGAACCTACCGCCAGTAATTATAGAATGCACTATTATGATTGTTGGTAGTTGCTATATTTACAAGAAGAATCTGACGTGGCAGTGACATAAGAGATGATAATCAAAACTGGTGCTATCCTTGAAATACTTTTTCTTTTAGTGCTACAAAAAAAAAAAAAAAAAAAAAAAAGCCCCGGGTTTTTTATTTT